TGGTGCCAAAGAGCTTCACTGGCCCTGTAAAACATATATTTACTGTGAAACTATGTGTCTCTTAGCATATTGGAACATACTTACTTTTTTCCTAGCTATATCCTACAGTTTACTCCTTGTCATTCCCCCCAGCCATCATATTAAATCCAGGTGGCATTTCCATGTCTAAGATACCATAACAAAACCTGATAAACATGTTTTCTTCATTGTCTCTGCTGTACCTGGTGCCATGGAGGTTACAGTACTCAAGAGTTACAGTACTCTTGAGATGGTAATTCCTGTCATTATCACAAAGTGCTATGATTTAACTCCCATCCTGGGAAGACTGACTAAGCTTTTGAGACTGGAGGTACCTGCAATGGCCACCCCATTTCATTCTGTGTCTTTTATGATTCTTTGTAGACATCATTCAGAAGCCTTGAAAGCACTAAGTGTTGCACTTCATGCGATCCTGGATGTTAGACCGAGGTAAAGGATTAGGTGTTCAGAGAAGCAACTTCTTCAACCTGCAGATGTCAGAGCTATTCCTTTTGCTGCTACTCTTAGTGATTCCACAAATTGAGGGGAAAGCTCTTCCTAATTGGTGTAGTGTGAATTATCCCCTTCACATTCAACATGAATATTATCAGCCCGGGGACTTCATCGTTGGTGGAATCTTTTCTCAGCTTTTCACACCTCCCTTCAATCCATTATCCTTCACTGAGAATCCCCAGACAATGATTGAAGACATGTATATGTAAGGAAATCATTTTTTTGTTTTGTTTTGTTCCTCTGACAAAAAGGTCCAAAGTTTGAATAATCACCTTAAATAGATACCAGAAGCAAAGGAGTGTAGAGTTGTGCTTTTTAATGAAAGGCAGGGCTCATCTTTTTCATATAAACAAAGCAATCAAAGAATATAATCCTGGACCTAAATGAAGTTAAAAAATTGAATTTTTCCCCAGTGTTGACCATGCATGGAAGGAAGGAAGGAAGGAAGGAAGGAAGGAAGGAAGGAAGGAAGGAAGGAAGGAAGGAAGG